TCATATTGCAAATCATATTTTAGTTCGTATATACAGACTAGACTATAATATACCGTGAATAAATAAACAGCATAGAATTTTGGATAGTGCAATATGAATCACATCGATTTGCGGCTTTTTAAACTTTTTTGTCTGCTTCGGCTCATCGTTAGCTAAAGAACATTGTCACTTGACTGTTCCTTCGACTAACTTACAGTATACATTCATTAAAGTGTCACGAATGAACTGAGAAGATTCTGTCGGTGGAAATGAGTCCAAATACGACATCATTCGGACTATTTTCAATAATATATCATTTTCATTCGCAACATTACGCATGAGTAACAATTGTCCAATTACACTCGAATTTGGACGCATTTTATTCGGGAGAATTTCTTCAACTCATTCATGACATTTTCATTAAAATATATTGCAAATTGTAAAAGTTTAAATTTTCATTCGTGCGTCATTCCTTATCTCATCTACGTCTGTTTACATTGTATGCCGATGGGTCGGTCGCTGGCCTTGGACGTTCGGCAAGAATCGAAATCTCGCCACGAGCCGTAGGCCGTAGCTATTCCATCGTTCTCCTCACGGGTAGAATTGCATGCGGGACATGAGGTAACAGCGTCAGAAACACGATACTTTCCGGCAACACTGTCTTCGCGTAGGAAATACACAAACCCAGCTTGATGGTAACGGGGAACAAAATTTATTTGTGGGTACTGCCGCTAGATGTCGTATAATCAAGCCGTCCCAAATATCGATTTTGTGTTTCCGCTGGCGTCCGATTGTTTACATCAGCGCTTCGATCGATTCGGAGTTGGCCCCCTGGACAATCTGGCCACGGTTACCGTACAACACTTACCCCAAAATCTCGGAGGAGCGTTGGTCGCAAAAAAAGGAGGTTCGAGGCACCATTACTCATTATTAGATTTTAATAGCCTGGTTATTTGGTTTTCCCTCGCAGATGTGCGTTTTTAGTTTGAAAGGAAATAAAAAACGATACTTTCGTTAATTTCGAGAGCGCGAAGTTTAGACTCCAATTTTTAATTTATTTATTATCCTTGCGCTCCGGATTCTCGAAATCTGGTATATTTATTACATGGGCGAAAATGACCTACGTCGAAGGTCCGTGCTTCGCGGGGACAAGGTGCACCTTGACTTTTCATTTTATCAGAAGCGACAATGAAAAAATATGTTGAACGCTTCTGATAAATTAGAAATAATCCAAACTATATCGAGTTCGGTATTATTTTGTTCAGAAAAATCTTAATAATGTTTTAATGAAAGTGTTATATTATTCGCCCAACTGGTTCCAAGGAGGATCCTTCTCTCTCCCGCCAGTTGTGGGGATGAATTATTAACTCTTATAGAATAAATCTGATCTACCGCTTATCGAGAAAATACGACAAATACGGTGCAAGTATTCAGGACATTCTATATACGACAAAAGTAAGTAAGTGTGGATTTACCTAAGTTACCATTTTAAATAACAAAGGACATAGAAGGTAGTAAAATTTGAAAATTAAACGAAGAATACTAAGAATTTTCTTTCAAAAATTGCCTGAAAATAGCAAAAGGGGTATCAGTACCACAATTTTGGACATCCATTGCAGTAAAAAGCTAATAGAACTGCAGATAAACGTAGCCAGACATAAGAACTGTAAAGCGTTTATTGGTTAACTGAAACGATTTAAATTAAAGTATCGAATACAACACTAAGAGCATTATTGTAGAACATCTATTCCTGAACATTGAGGCGCTGCAGAAATTGGAACTCTTAACAGAAATGCTTTCTAGCAAGCAATGAGCGATCACATTTAGTAATCAGTTCTACTCAAACCACACGTTTAGAATCTATAATGTAAGGTGCAACTAATTAAAAATGGACGGTTCCTCAAGTTCTGCTTGTTAGTATCATATGTAAATTAAGTACATTGAGTGTACATACTTGTAATAACAACTATTTAAAGGTTATAGGGTCTATGGGGCTCGATGCTCAGCAAGTTCCTTGGAGCCGG